AAGAAGTTGCGAAGATTCCACATCGCACTCCCAGTTTTATTATGGAATCTTCCCAGGTCATTCACACCGAACCCTGCTGAGCTGAAATAACAGACTTACTGTGCAGGGCTTTGCAGGATGCTCCCAGTCTGCGCTGCACCAGACACTTCACTGCTGGGATTCTGCCGGTTTTATGCCCGTCTGTCGTATTTCTCCATCTCGGGTGGACTGAAGGACTAATCAGGATGGAGGCAGGAAGACGCCCACCTTATGCTGGGATGCTCCCAGCTAGTTCAGGCTGCGAACATCGTCACAAGTCAGGATGTCCCTGTCCTAAGGCTGAGAAGTTGAACCCAGTCTCCAGGGCTGTGGGCCAAGCTTGCATCTCACCTGCAGAGGAAACTGTCCTGTCGCCCTCCCCTACGTTCCCTGGACCCACAGATAGGGATCGGCACTTGCCCCGGATCTCCCACAAGGGCAGTGTCTCTGGAAGGAGCCTGACTACCTACATGACAGGGCTGAGGAATAGTGGGAAGGAGATTGCAGAAGAAGGTATTTATTGGTACGATAGAGCCCAGAGCTGACGTGCACCAAAGCCCCAGCTGGTCCTTCATTAACCCCACACGATCCACTCTGGGAGACCAAAACATTTTTTGTCCCCTGTGTTGCACCAGGAACTCTTGGGATATGGCCACCAGAGAGCCCCACAGCTCAGGCTGCCCTGGGTGTAGGAGTTTGATCACCAAGCAGCTGCTGGAGAAAAACTCAGTTTGGGGTCCTAAAGTGACGTTTCCTTGATGCAGTCTCCTTGAACTCCGAGTAATTAGGGCTTCTCAAGGTGACACCAGCAGGCAATCGGGCCCTTTCTTTGTTTCCAATCCCCGTTCTTTGCCTGTGAAACTGAACTGGAGAAGAGAGAAAACTTCCCAGCCTGTCTGCACTGTCTTAAGTCTTAGCCAAATTTAAGTTACACTCTACAATTAACCCCTGGTGGCAAAGGAGTGATTCATTCTCACTGGAGACCAAACTTTTCAGGAACTCAGGATTCATCTAGACAGTAGGATGGGGTGTCAGAAAAATGGGCATTTTTCTGAAAAAAATTAACTTACATCCACAGTTCTATTGCTTTCTTCTGAAAGAAAATTGAAAGCACAGACGGGTGTTCCCAACAATAGTAAATCTCATTCTACGAGGAAGAACACCTAGAATGTGTGGATGCGGAAGAAGGAAAGAAGAGGTCTCCAGGAAAAAGCACAGGTGCCGTGGTAGCCACTCGGTACATAGTAATCACAGCTGAAATGCAAGATAGCGTCCACTCAGTGTGGAAACTATCTGTCAAAAAAGCAGATCTCTTTTTCAATATGCTTGTGTTGTGTGGACTCTCTCTTTCGAAAGAAGTTTTTTCATAAGATCTCTTCTGAAAAAGCTTCTTTCGAAAGAAGATTGCAGTCTAAATGTACCCTCAGTGTGTCTAAGATATTCTTTAGCTTATTTTGAATTTCAGTTGGTATGAATCAACCATCTTCCTTCCTTCCTTCCTTCCTTCCTTGTCCCTGTGTTGTGCCTCTCCCCCTCTTAGGGTCTACAAGCTTTTTACAGAATAAGCTTTCCTGGAACAGATCTTCCGGAAAAGTTTATTTTGAAATAAGAGGATCTACATGCAAAAAGCACAACTTGAAAATGTGCTATTTCTAAAGATAGCATCCCTATTGATTGGATGCTATCTTCCATTTCAGGACACCTGGAACCAGTTCAAGCAGAGCTTTAGGTCAGCAGTTGCTTCTGGGTGCTGTTGCCTAAGGCTAGCTGAGATATGTGCATAAAGGGACCCCCTGGACAGCAGTTTCTCAGCTTCTCCTACTTAGTTGCCTACCTCTCCAAGGGTACGTCTAGACTATAGGCTTACGTCGACATAATTTTTGTCGACAGAATCTGTTGACAAAACTTATGTCGACATAGAGCGTCTAGACTACATCCAGTTCTGTCAACAAAGCAAGCTGCTTTGTCGACATAGCAGTGTGGATGCAAAGGACAGTGTAGATGCAATAACACCTTGGGCTCGTCTACACTGGCCCCTTTTTCGGAAGGGGCATGTAAATTTTATGAGTGGTAGTAGGGAAATGCGCGGGGGATTTAAATATCCCCCGCGGCATTTAAATAAAAATGTCCGCCGCTTTTTTCCGGCTTTTAAAAAAAGGAAGGAATAAGAGCCTCCGGAAAAGGGCGCTTTTTCCGGAGGATCGGGGCCAGTGTAGACGCTCTTTTCCGGCTTTTTTAAAAGCCGGAAAAAAGCGGCGGACATTTTTATTTAAATGCCGCGGGGGATATTTAAATCCCCCGCGCATTTCCCTACTACGACTCATGAAATTTACATGCCCCTTCCGGAAAAGGGGCCAGTGTAGACGTAGCCCAAG